TGGGACAGGTCTGGGGAAGTGATTTTAGCCTGGAAGTGGTAGATGCTTTACCCTGAGAGAATGCATAGCCATTTGCCCCAGACTCCGTTTACAATCCTACCTGCCCATGGGTCCTGGGGAACCACCCTTTAGAAGACTGTGGTTCTTTTTTTTTTTTTTTTTGCCAGTCCTAGTTTGAACTCAGGGCCTGGGTACTGTCCTTGAGCTTCTTTTTGTTCAAGGCTAGTACTCTATCACTTGAGCCACAGCACCACTTCCTACTTTTTTCTGTGTATGTGGTTCTTAGGAATCGAACCCAGGGCTTCATGCATGTGAGGCAAACACTGTAACACTGAGCCCCATTCCCAGCCCCAAGACTGTGGTTCTAACCCTGTAGGCTGCCCTCTTGCTGGCCTGGTCCTCCAGAGGTATTTAGAACAGCTAGTTCTCAGAATAACAGTTTCCAATATATTTCTAAAGTTTAAAATGAAATGTGCTGTAGCATTTATCTTTAGTGTGGTTTCTTTTAGTACTTTTCTTTTGCCATTATGGTTTAGTTTCTTCATTTTCCTCCTTTGAGCTTTTTAAAGCCCTCAGCTGGGGACCTTTTATTTTCTATGTTTATTAATTTTCAAACTGCTGTACTTTGGCCAGGCATGGTAGTGCATGCCGTAGTCCAGCTATGTAAGAGCTGGAGTTAGGATGATTATAGTGAGAGGCAGGTCCTGGAAAAAAAGGCCCTATCTGAAAAACAAACTGAAGTAAAAGAGAGCTGGAGATGTAGCTCAAATTGTAGGTGCCTGCTTAGCAAGTGCAAGACTTTGAGTATAAACCCCTGTACCACTAAAGGAAAAAAAAGCCATATTATGATATTTCATGTATGCTCATTAAGTTTGTCTCCCTTTTCCTCCTTCTTTCAAATCTTGTGGCTTGATTAGGCATGTTCCTGGTCAGGCCTGTGTGGCATCTTGTTGTTGGCAATTTTTGTACTGCAGTATGGTGCAGGAGGGACAGAGGTAAATACATGCATGCATGCTCAGGTTCTCAGGCCAGCACTAGAGGTGTATACCCTTCCACCTTCCTTCTGGGTGCCGTAGTACAGAACACCAGGAATTTTCAGAGGTGGGAAATGGAGCCTGAACGTGGAATCTGGGGAAAGGACCAGGACCTGCTTGGGGCCTGAACAAGTGGGTAAATGCTGAGAGAACAGATCAGGTGGTGACAAAAAGGCTGCCACATCATCTAGAAACCACAAGCCCACAGGGCAGGGGCTCCCTTCAGGCCATATGGCTGCTACTGAAGAGCCAGTCGTGAAGGAATGAGCACTGGGGTATTGAAGGAGAACAGCCACTGCCCTGGTGTCTCTGAGCCAGGCTGCTGCAGGCCCAGGCTCCAAAGGACAGTTAAGAACAGGAGCAGAAAGCTTACTTCTAGGGCTCACATTGTGTCTGCTAGAGGTCCAACTCCTTCAGTTTAGTATGTAGAGTATGCCTACTCACTTCTTCCTAGCCCTGGCCAGGTGCCTGACTCAGGGCTCATGATTGCAAATAAGAAGAACCCAGCTCAGCTGGGTGCCAGTGGTTCACTGGCTACTCAGGAGGCTGAGATCTAAGATTATTCATTTGAAGCCAGCCAGGGAAGAAAGGTCTGTGAGACTCTTATCTCCGATTAACCACCAAAAAGCTAGAAATGGAACTATGGGTCAAGTGGTAGAGTACCAGCCTTGAGCGAAAAAAGCTACAAGACAGTGCTAAGGTCCTGATTTCAAGCCCCAGTACTGGCTCTCTCTCTCTCACCTCTCTCTCTCTCTCTCTCTCTCTCTCTCTCTCTCTCTCTCTCTCACACACACACACACACACACACTAACTCAACTCAAATTAGCTTAAGTAAAAGAGAGCCTCCTTTGTGAGCCTGGCAACTTGAGAAGCTTAGAGAATGGTTCAGGTATGGTTTCATGCAATGTTTGACAATGTGTTGTGGGCTACTTACCTCCATTTCTCAGCTCCTCTGAGCTTCACTTGTTAGATAGGCTGGTTTTGAGTGGCAGCAAGCTAAGCATTGACTATGCCAAGCTGACACTGATAAAGTTTATTACTCAGTAATACTGGGCAGGCATGGAGGAAAGATTGTGCCTGGTTAGGTCTGGGTTACATGCCAGTCTTTTTTTTTTTTTGGTCTGGTCCTGGGGCCTGAACTCTGGGCCTGGGCACTGTCCCTCAGCTCTTCTGCTCAAGGCGAGCACTCTACCACTTGAGCCACAGAGCCCACTTCCAGCTTTTTCTGTTTATGTGGTGCTGAGGAATCGAACCCAGGGCCTCATGCATGCAAGGCAAGCACTCTACCACTGAGCCACCTTCCCAGCCCTACATGCCAATCTTAAACCAATCATTTTCTAGGGAGTGGTTAGCCCTAATCACAAACATCCCTGAGGAAAAAGTAGGGACCAAAGGACTGCATATAATTACTTTGGCCCAGAGAAAGAAATGCCAATTAGGTAAGATGTATATAAAATCAGCCGAGGTCCCTGGCCTTGCTTTGCTGGAAGTAGAATTGTCCCCCCAGCCCACAAGTATACAACCATCTGGGCTCTGGAGGTTGATGTCTGTGTAACAGTGTACTGGCATCCATATAGTTCTCAGGTGTGTGGAGTAGGAACTCTCAGGCCTCTTTATAAGAAACTGAAGTTTTAGACCCCAGACCCACACTGCAGGAGCTTCACAGGTCAGGACCAGCCACTGGTTCCTAGACACCAAGAAGAGACATAGTCAAAGGCAGAGCAAGGGAGTCTGTTCAGGCAGCCATGGAAAAAGACAAACTGAGCACTCCAGCCCATCTTCAGCCATCTTCAGGGTACAGATATGAGCTTTAGCTCTGAACAGAACTGGGGGAAGAGGGAGAGAAGAATATATAATGTTCAAACAGTTCAAACAGTGCCAACCATAGAGTACTTGGCTGACCATTGGCTCAGTCCTTGTTCTCAAGGGCTTCTGGGGTAGTTATTGGAAGTCACTGTTGCCTGGAGGGTGGTCTGTCTTGAGCTTGAGGAAGCTCTTGCTTTTTTTTTTTTTTTTTTTTGCCAATTGTGAGGCTTGAATTTAGGCCTGGCAGGGTTGTCCCTGAGTTTTTTTGCTCAACGCTAGCACTCTACCACTTGAGCCACAGCTCTACTTCTGTTTTTTTGGTGCTTAATTGGAGATAAGAATCTTACAAGCTTTCTTCGCAGGCTGGCTTTGAACTGTGCCATCTAGATCCCACCTCCTGAGTAGCTAGGATTACAGGTGTGAGACACCACAAAACTCTTGTTCTATAGGGAGCGTTTTGGTCCCTTGACACAAAGTTGTCATTGATCAGTCCTATCTTTCCTGATTCCCTGGCGGTAGCAAAGTGATTACAGAATGACTTAGAGCAAAGACACATATAAAATGGAGGCAGAGATGCCAAGATTTTTTTCCCTACTTTTCATTAATTTGTGAGCCCAAATTAGGTAGTCAGTGCTTCACAACAAAAGCAACTTTTCATTATGGGCTCTGTGGACCCTCAAGTGAGCTGCCTGCGCATGTAGTAAGCTCAGGGAGAAAGCAGCCTTTCACTAGTCTGTTTGTCTCAGGCAGTCCAAGGGGATGTTGACCACTAACACCAGTTGGCCTCTGGATCTACAAATCTGGGTCTGATGTAGCTATCAGCCCCTTCCCCCAAGCTGGGGATTGACTCTCTTTATGAGTTTCAATCTGATTTTGGTGACACCTGCAGTTTCTGAGTTCTGTCAGGCAGGGGACAAAGTGGCCAGGCTAGACCCTGGCAGATGAGGCTTGTCTTCTGCACTGCTGAACTTAGCACATGGAGTACAGAGGCCCAGCTGGGTCCTAGCATGCCCAAGTATGTAGCAGCCCCAGCCCCATCACCTGCTGCCTTTTTTTTGGGGGGGGGGTCCAGTCGTGAGGCCTGAACTCTGAGCCTGGGCGCTGTCCCTCAGCTCTTCAGCTCAAGGCTAGCACTCTACCACTTGAGCCACAGCACCACTTCCGGCTTTTTTGTTTTTGCTTATGTAGTGCTGAGGAATCAAACCCAGGGCCTCATGCATGCAAAACAAGCACCCTATCACTGAGCCACCTTCCCAGCCTCGACCTGCTGCCCTTTGATACAGCACCTCTCAGGACTTTTCTTTTTTTTTCCCTTCCTCAGTTTCTTCGTCTTTCCATGTAACCCAAATTGGCTTTGAACTTATAATACTCCTACCTTAGACTCCTGAGTGCTGGGATTACAGACATGCCCCACCACAGCCAGCGAGGTTGCCAGTGTTGTGTTTTTATTATCACCAAAACATTTTGTTCCTTCTCGAGCTTGTCTGTACTGTGAAAAGGTCAGCATGGAGATCTTGTTGTCTTCCTTCTCACTGCAGGCAGACGTCAAGAATGTCAGAGCTCCCCAGATACGTCTCATTACCCTCGTCCAGTGCATCCTTTGGGAGTGTTTATCCCACTGGTCAAGTTGCCCTGGCCTCTGTTTACCTTTTTTCTCATGAGCCACAGCCACAGCCTAATACTCCTTCCCTCCTCTCCCCTCTAGACCTCAGGAAGTTTTTTTTTTTTTTTTTTAATTATTTAAGTCATATGCCACCACTGCCTATAATGAATCTTTGGAGACCTTTCCAGAAAATGTCCCCTTTAACAAAACATCCTGGAAATTTGCCTAAGTTTCCAGATTTTTTTTTTAAACTTGTGCGCGCGTGTGTACACACACACACACACATACACGCGCGCGCACCCCCCCCACACATTCCCCCACAGGGCCTCCCTCTGATTAAAATTTTAACAATGCCCTGCATCTGTTCAGTTTTAGTAGACTGTCTCTGAGGGGTTTGATCACCAGAGAGCTGCCCATGGGATGGACTTTACCAAATTTCCATCCTCACAGGAGAATCCAGGCCTGGGTTTGGCTTCAGCTGGGCGTTCCCTGTGGCTGCCACTTATTGACTTAAGTCTCAGCAATTCAGAGATTCTTCTAGAGCGCCTGGGTCACCCCTGACAACCGTGGGAGGGAGGCCCTCCTCCTGGCTGGGCTCCCCAGGGCCTTGGTGGCCACCCCTGCTTCCTGGTAGGTGTTGCTGGGTCTTGTGGTTCGGAGGACCTGGGAAGATGTTTCTGTCTTTCCCAGGAACCAGGGTGCAGTTGCTGCATGGGATTTTCCCAGAAATTTGTGCACTCATGGGAAAGAGTGTGGATCTTACTGGGAGAGTGTTTAGTTAATGGTTGACAGAAATTTGCTTTCCTGGCTGCCCAGGGCCCTGCTGCAGGAGGAAGAGACAGTTGGAGGAAAGCCAGGAGTGTCTCTTGCCAAGGACTGTTACTCTGAACACTTTCCACTCCCTTCTTCCAAGTGTCCCAGTGGACAGGGATGAAGTTGGGGTGTTGAGGGTTTGTCTGTTTTGAGCAGCAGGTGGGCTTGGGACAAATACCATCCCCCCATCCCCAATGAGAACTAATACAAGTTGGTGAACTCTTGACTGCCTATCTCCCTGTGCATAGGCTGGAACTGGGGCACCCTGGCCCTCATGTTTGTGGTCAACCAGCACAGACTGTGAAAAGTCCTCAGGTAGCCAAGAGACAAAGCTAACAAAATACAAGGGCCTCAACAGAGACAGAAGTAAATAGCCCAAGCAGCTTTTTTTTTTTTTGTAGTGTGAAAGAATTTTAAGTGATCTACAGATGAGCATTTATAACATTTGAATCGTTATTTCTTTTCATGATTTTTTTTTGTGCTGCTGGGAATCAAACCAGGGTGGAGTGTTTTCATATATAGGAACATAACTTTTTTTTTCTTCTCCCACTTGCCTTTTATTTATGCACATGATAGGATTTTCTATTCATGCTGGAGATAGGAAATTTCCTCTGAAAACAAATTTAAGTAAAAGAGTGAGTGAAGGAAAAGGAAGATGGGGAGTAGAGAATGGCGTGGGAGCCAGGCAGGTTTGGGAAAAGCATGCTTAGAGGAGTTCCGAGATGGCAGAAGGAATAGAAGAGTTGATGGGGTCAGAGAGGGAGAACATCTAGCCAAGTGGAGATTGGAGGGTGAGTGTACTTACAGCTCCAGCAATGTGGGTGTGAGTCTTGGTGTCAATTCAGTCTTCTCGGGGTGGATAAGTCCTGAAGGGACTGGAGGGTGGGTTTAGACTACCTGTAGAGGACCATCAATGGGAGGGTATGCACTTTGAATTTAATTCCAGAGGCAGTGGGAGCCATTGAAGGTACTCGAGGGGGGAAGTGGTTCAGCGTGGTACTTTATAAAGAGCCTCATTTATTTGTGATGGGTATCAGGACTGGAGACAGGATGATCAGTCAGGAGCCTAAGTAAAAAGATTATTAAGAGATCAAACTAAGGCCAGAGCCACAGAACCCATCTCCTGCTGCCTCTGGCATGCAGCCCAGAAACAGCAGAGAGAAGCAGGTCCAATAGGTAGCCAAACCTTGGTCTGACTCTGGGAGTCAATGGATGCTGGACTGAGCTGAGGTCAGAGAGTATCAATGGAGGCCTGAAGATGGAGCCGCCTCTCCTGCACAGGACTGAGAGGAAAGGAGTGGATTGGCCCAGTGACCTGCTTCCTGGCATAGCACAGAATGTTCTGGAATGTTCCTGGGGAAATAGGTGGAGTCTGCCGAAGGCAGCTCTTCTGGCCAGAGTTCTGACAGGGGCAGGAAGAATGTGATTTCCTGACTATTGTTGGTTAAAAAAAAAAAACAAAAACAAAAAAACAGCCTT